GGAGACTGAACTTTTTTTAAAGATTTTTAAATGTATATATGTATATATTTATTTTTTACTTACAAGGAACTAACTACATTCGCAATATTTATTTCAAGAGGGCAGGAAGAGGCTAGGTCTAAATGGGAGTGGGGAAAACTATTCTTCTAGGGGTAGCATTGCGGCTCTGAGTTCTTCAAAGCTTCATGTGTTAGACAAAAAAAGATTTACATGAAGGACCAAATAAGTTTTAAAGCAAGCAGTGATAAAATGAGAAGGGTGCAGCCAAGAATCAGGAACCAGGGGTCTGTGTTTGCACCCGTCAAGGCTGAACTCTTAAGTCTAAGCTAATGGGCAGAAGGCACACAACTGGCCTCCACCTCACCCAGAAGGCAGCTCCTCTCCAGCTTCCCTGAAGCAACACAAAAATAATCCCAAGAGGCTCCGTTAGGAGAAGGAAAAGTATTTCCAGTCTCAAACTGTTTGAAAAACTGCGTGAATTTTAAGTCATTATTAAAGGGGGCTGGAGCCATAGCACAGAGGGTAAGGCATTTGCCTTGCATGCAGCCGACCCAGGTTCGATTCCTCTGTCCCTCTTGGAGAGCCCTGCAAGCTACTGAGAGTATCCCGCCCGCACAGTAGCCTGATAACCTCCCCGTGACGTATTCGATATGCCAAAAACAGTAGCACTGTACTCCCACTGTTCATCGATTCGCTCAAGCCGGTACCAGTAACGTCTCACAACAAATTGTGAGACTTGTTGTTACTGCTTTTGGCATACTGAATACGTCACGGGTAGCTTGCCAGGCTTTGCCGGGCGGGCGAGATACTCTCAGTAGCTTGCCGGGCTCTCTGAGAGGGGCAGAGGAATCAAACACAGCTCTTCCATGTCAGCCATGTACAAGGCAAACGTCCTACCCGCGGTTCTTCCTATTCCCATTTTGTTTCATACAGAAGTTTGTTACTGATCAACTTACATCCTATAATTCGAGGAATTATTTCTGAGCTGAAAGAAAGAGAAACTGAAAAACTAAAAGAGCAGGGGAAGGAGGAAGGTAGGGTGGGGGCGAAGGGAGGGAGCGAGAGAGAGAGAGAGAGAGAGAGAGAGAGAGAGAGAGAGAGAGAGAAAAGAGGGGAAAGAGAAAGAGAGAGAGAGATGCACTCCATGGGATATGAAACATTTTTTGAAGTCAACCAATGGAATTGTGAAAAAGCTGTTTCTGTTAAAACCAAGCACAAATTTTGGAGTTTACACAAATCAGTTTCCTAATAACTGTTCAGTCAATAAAATGTTTTAAAAACACAAGTCAAATAAAAGTTAACTCTGGTTTCAGTGAACTATTTGATTCTCATTAATTTGCTTTTGGTCACTCAACACTAAATCACAGCATTACATTTTTATTTTTTATTTATTTTTTTTTGCTTTTTGGGTCACACTCGGCAATGCTCAAGAGTTACTTCTGGCTGTGCACTCAGGAATTACTCCTGGCGGTACTCGGGGGAACCATATGGGATGCTGGGAATTGAACCCGGGTTGGTTGTGTGCAAGGTAAATGCCCCACCCACTGTGCTATCACTCCAGCCTCAGCATTACATTTTTAGAATCAGTGAATTGTACTTAAATGACATTTACTAGCTCTAAAACTATTATTATACACTCTTTCTTTGAGATTACAGCACCATGATGAAGTCAGATAAAAATTATTTGACAAATGAGACCCAGATACAGAAAAATGGCAAAGAAGCTAGTTAGCATATTTACAATTTTAGGGATATTATATAATAAAAGAGTAGCTGCATTAAATTTGGGAGTGGAAAGGACTTCTAAAGATGAGTCTAATTTAGTGGTTTATATTACAGGTTTATATATTGTAAGGGCCTGCAATTCCAGATGCATATTTACATTTTCTCTATAGTATTAATGATATTCTTAACCTCACAATTTCCCACCACTGCCAAATTTTAAAACAATAAGTTGTTTAACAGTTTTAACAGTTTTAGGTTATTTAGTCGATTCTGAAATGATAGCAGAGCTATTAGACTTATACCTATACACAGTCCCCCTCCTGCATATCATATATATACTCTGTATGGCCAAAAACAGTAACAAGTTTCACAAATCGATGAACGATGGGAGGACAGTGCCACAGTGCTATTAGAAAAACATCTACTTGCATCAGTAATGTTGATAAATCAACTTCTCCCCACACAGGCGTTAGTGACACCTGAGAAGGATGAACCCGCTGGACTGTGTGCGCTGGATGAAAGGTCCTTGGCGGGCATGGGACCCTTTCCCCTGGAAGGTCCCAGCAACTGGGCTCACAGCACAAAGTGCCTCGGGACCCCGGGCACACAAAAGTAGTGACTTTCCCGAGTTTAAACCCACATTCAGGTGAAAGAGTGCTGCAATGATTAACAGTGCAGCTAGAAGCACCCAGAGCTCAGGCCTGGGCACGCAGCGGTACTCAGTGCAGCAGACAGCCCCTCCCCACCCCACCCAAGACTGCGCTGACACTGCTCCCCAGGACCCACAACATGTTCTGGGGAGATGTGGTGTAGCACTTCGACGGATGCCAAACCAAACCTGCATCTGTCGCACCCAGAATCTGGCAAAGGTGAAGGCTGGCCCGAGGCTCCATTCACCAGCCACCCTTTGAGTTCCTGAGGAGCCCGGGGACACGAGCGAGCAATATGTGGCCAGAGACCCAGCTGACTGGGTTGCCATGAAAACCGCTCTGTGCTCAACTCTGGAAGAAGGAGAAACGAGGGAACCCCAGAGCCAACACACAGCTGCAGGGGATCACGTCAGTTGCCATAAGAACAAAATAGCCTGTGAAACACCATGAGTCTACTGAGAAAAATTTACTCATCATTTCTTACTTCCAGGTTTGGTTTATTTCTAAAATAGAGTAATAACTGAATTGGCAAACTAAGTTTAAATTCAGCCAAGCACACTTCCACACTGCCTTGAAAAGCAGCCACATCTTCAGCACCTGACAGGAAGGTGATCAGACTTTCAACCTTTGCCCACCTCTTCCACCTACAACCAAAGATTCTGAGGGAGAAATTTACAAAGACTCGTGCAGTCCCCAGACCAGATCTTGGAGCCCGGCCCTGCGGGAGTGCTAGGAGGTAAAACAAGGCCACTCCGTCGAGTGCTTAGCCCAACACGCTGCACTCCAAGGTCAGCAAGTGGGCTGGTGCCCACAATGACCACATCAGATCCGGGCTCCTTCTGACTTTGACAGCAGCCTCCAACCTACCCAGTTCCAGACATCGTTCCAAGTCCTCCGTGACTCAGGTTGGGGTCACAAGCTGAAAACCAGAAGTCAGTGCTCCTGCCGAGAGGCTTCAAGCAGCAGAGAAAGCAGGAGAGAGGGCTGGTCCCACATCGACTGGACACTATCTCACCTTCACTCACTCCCCTAGGGCCTCTCCCAGAAAGTCACTTTCCCAACAAAGACCAAATTTCTGCCTTCTCCTCTCCTCCCCCAGATCAAGTTTCATATGCTCTTGCCCTGAGTCTACACAAAATTCTTTCAAACAGACTACCTTCAGGTGTGGTTTGCCTGCCAAAGCCCTTTTTCTGCACCAAGTTCACTGCAGGGGTTGATGTCCCTCCCCAGGTATTGCATGTGACAGACTAAGCACACAGCAATCTGGTCGGCATCACACCCCACCTGCTGTTCTTTAATACTCAGGTAAAACATCCACCATCTAACGGTTACCTTCAACTCTAGAGGGCCCCAAACTTATTTGCTTAGTGCCCTTCTTTCTTTGGGGACCGTATATACCCGTCTATGCTCAGGGGTTACTCCTGACTCTGCACTCAGGAATCATTTCTGACAGTGCTCAAGGACCATGTGGGATGCCGGGGATTGAACTCAAGTGGGCTGCATGCAAGGCAAACACACCCTGCCCACTACAGCCCTCTTTTTAGAAAAACCAAGCAAAACTTGGCACATACCTTCACCTTCGTGAAATGTGCCTTCTTTAACTAAGCCAACACAGAGTGCCCCTGAACTGTACGGAGGCCACTACTTGCCCCCACTGTTCTAGGCACTTCCATCATAAGCATTTGTCATGAGGGCCCTTCAGCCCACGTAACCTCCCACATCACCACAGGTGAGAGCGAATTCACAACTCCAGCAAGCTGGACTCCGGCACAGCTGTCCTCCACTGAGGTGTGGGTCCCTAGAACAACAGTCCTTCTTTCTAGACTGCTGTGTGGAGGGTGACCCCGGAGTATCACTACTCACCTGCAGTCATCTTCCTCCCTTTCCCTTACTCCTTTAGAAAGGATAAAGTCATCAGGAACACATAAGCTTTCAAATCACCTGATAATTACCATGTAAGCAGCCAGGAGACATGGTAAAAAGGGAGGGCCCAGGTTCATGACCCAGAACCAGAAACACTGGCACACTGACCCAGGGACTCAGGAGGGTGCTTGGGGCCTGATTTTCTTTGACTTCTTAATACTTCCTCCCAGCTTCATGGATTTGGGGGGAATACTCTGAGCTTTTTCAAATAATATAATATTATGAGGTGAGTTACTCTCGGGTATCATTTTGAGATAACCACTAAACCACTCTGAATCTTAAAAAAATAAAGGTAAATATTTTTAAAATAGCTGCAGCAAGTTTTCCAAAAGCCAACATTAGCATTTTGTGTCATTTCCCATCTGAGGCGAAGCTGCTACAGTTCTAGACAAGGCCACCCCCCACACACACACCCCGACTCTCCTTTCTCTTTCTCTCTCTCCTTCTCTCTCCCTCTCCCCCGCATGGCAGCAGGGCCAGGCCCAAGTGGAGCTGCTGGAGACCGCCAACAAGCCCACCGGGTCCCAGGAGCCAGACTGCTACACCAATCTGAGCTCCTGAGTAACACAGGTAGCTCTGACTCAGGTCTGGTGCCTGGCTGCAGAGAGGAAGTTTCCCGTGTGTTCTGAATTCTGCACAGGAAATGGGACATAGGACCAATCAATTCTGAGCCACAGGATAGTACTGGAACACAGTACTTACCAGGTCAATCAGGTCACTGAGGTTTTTCTCAATTTGCTGAGGAGGCAGGCGCCTCATTAAGTCCAAGGCACAGTCCAGCTGCTGGTCACTCTGAAAGGAGAAAAAGCGTCTGAGTCATTCTGCCAACAGCAAACACCTACACACCCCTGCAGAGAGCATCCACAAGGTTTCGTCTTGCCCAGGGTGTCTGCAGCCTTCACTGTCAGTGCAGGGAAACCAAATGGTCCAGGATGACGTGACGTGGACAGAGAGCTCAGAGCTGCTCTGTTCCAAAGACATCTTGCCATGGTGGCAGAGGCTACGCCAGACTCCCCACAGTTTCCACACCAAGCGCGACCCAGCATCATGTTGGGCTTAACTTGTGTCACCTAGTTGCAAAGTGCAGGTGACAAGTCTCGAAGTGTCCCAAGTCAGGCACAGAAAGACAAAGAGTAGGTGCAAGCACACTCATGGGATCCCGCGTATCAGCCACGGGTGACACATTTCCCCAGGCGCCAGGTCCTCACCTAGGAACCCAAGAGCAGAACCACATTTGTGGAAAGGGGACTACCAGGGCAGTATCCTGCCACGGAGGTCTGCAAGGGTGCAGTGGCTGGGTGTGGGTTGGGGCCACATCCGCTGATACACAGTGGTTACTCTTGGCTCTGCTTTCAGGAATTTACTGGTGGTGCTCGGGGAAGCGTATGGGATTCTGAGATCAAACCCGGGTTGGCCCCGTGCAGGACAAATGCCTTGCCGGCAGCACTATCGCTCCGGCCCCTCAACACTCTCTTTAACTGCATGCTGTGTACTGATAACTCTCTCCCTGCAAATATAAGCTGAGAGCCACAAGCGCCGGTCATCATAAGTGTGCAACCACTTACGATGGCGGAACTGAGCAGGGATAAGGCTGGAAAGCACCAAGAGTCAGTGCCAGGGAGGGCACCCCAACACGGAGCAGAACACCAAGGAGGAACACTATGGGGCCAACAATGCCCATGAGGAGGCCTGTCTGACCGCAATTCTGAAGCTGCTCGGCCCAGAAGGATGGCCTTGGGCAACTAAGTCCCTAACCTCTAACAGAGGCAGTTTCCATTTCACAGGGCAACTAGAGTACCTGTATTTGACTTGCAGTATTTGTGTGTGTGTGTGTGTGTGTGTGAGAGGGAGAGAGAGAGAGAGAGAGAGAGAGAGAGAGAGAGAGAGAGAGAGAGAGAAGAATACAAGCTTAACATATTTTAAGATACAAGTATATTTTTTATGCATTGGCCCCACTCTGTGCAGTTCTGTAGTCTCCACTGCTGCTCTAAACTGAAACTCAGTGTCCATCTTCATGAATAGCTACGCTCCATGCTGGCTGTACAAAAAGAGAAAACTCAGGTGAATCTAGTTAACAAATTCTTAAAAATGGGCCGAAACTGTATCACACAACCCTCAGCAATGAAGATACACACAAGCATAGGAAAAGATTCTCCACTTCATATGCCAGCAAAGAAATGCACATTAAAGTAACAATGAGCAGGCTGGAGCAGTAACAAACCGGGTAAGATGTCTGCCTTGCACACAGTCGACCCAAGTTCATTCCTGAGTACCACCAAGAGTAAATGCTGAGCACCACTGAGTGTGGCCCAAAACCAAACAAAATAAAGGGTCAAAATAATAGGGTCACATCACAGGTCGACTCTAATGGTCGACTCTGGTCAACTCTGGAGCAGTAATTTTTTGGGGGGGCGGGGGGAAGAAGAAACACCCCGCTGTGCTCAGGGCTATTCCTGGCACCGTGCAGGGAGTGGGGATGGAACTGTTTCATGTCCTGCCAGGGATCGCTCAGGCCAACCCTACCCTTGGGCTCTCAAACCACCAAATGCTGAAGCAGAGTGTGGAAAAGAGAAGCAAGGAAACGCTCATTATTAGTGGAAGAGTGGAACGAACGGTACAGCCACTCTCAGACAGCTTGGAAGCTTCTTCTAAAACAAAACATGTTATTCTTATTCAATCTAGCTACTAGACTCCTTGGTGCACTTCACCAAAGGAGTTGAAGACATATTCACACAACAAACCTGCATGTGAATGTTTTTATCAGTTTTATTCATCCAAGCATCCAAGATGACCTTTAGAACGTGAATGAATGCTTAAAGACCGTGTGTGTGTGTGTGTGTGTGTGTGTGTGTGTGTTTACATGTTTACAGACAATATCTTTTCATCCAGGACTAAAACAAGGGGCTGTGAAGGCCTGAGAAGAAAGGAACCCGCATAAAATGAGTGAAAGAAGGGGATAGAGCAATAGCACAGCAGGTAGGGTGTCTGCCTTGCATGCAGCCAACCTGGGTTCGTTCGATCCCCAGCATCCCATTTGGCTCCCTGAGCACCTCCAGGAGTAATTCCTGAGTGCATGAACCAGGAGTAACCCCTGTGCACTGCCGGGTGTGACCCAAAAAGGGGGGAAAAAAAGTGAAAGAAGGCCAGCTGAAAAGGCTTCATGAATCCAATTGTGACATTCTGGGAAAGACAAAACCATGAGAAGAGATCTGGGGTCACAGGGACTGGAGGGACAAATAGGCAGAACACAAGGAATTTTTAGTTTCACTTCTCTGCGCGACATCGTAATGGTGAATCTGTGTCATCAGTTTGTCCAGACCCTTGGGATATAGGAGACCAAGAGAGAACCCTCCTAATACTATGGACTTCGCATCAATGTCCGTCACTGATTCTCTCTGGTGAGAGAAGTTAATAGCAGGAAGGCTATTCCGCAAGAAGGCAGGGATCATTCAAGGTCTCTGTACCTTCTGCTCAATCTGCTGTGAGCCTGTAACTGTGAATTAGTGTTTCTCAATTGAGGTTGGGGCTACCCTCCCCACAAACCTCCCAGGAGACATCTGGAAATGTACAGAGACTTTTTTTGGACAAAAATGTTCAAATTTGGGGAGGGGAAACTATGGACATTTAACGGAGAGGCCACATTTCCTACAATACAAAGCACAGAATCTAGTTATGTGGCCCAAAGCATTAGTACGTCAAGTCTGAGAAACCCTGGTTTACGGTTACCTGGGCCAGAGACACAGTACCGGGTAAGGCCCTGGCCTTGCATACAGCCAACCCCAGTTTGATCCCTGGCAAGAACAGAGAACCAGGACTCGAGAAGCTCCTGAGCACCATCACCAAACACCTCCCCGTAAGTAAAATAAATAGATAAAAAGCTTCATTTCTGGCAATTGCAGACTCCTAGACTCTGATCTAACCTCAGAAAACCGCCCAGGCAGAGAGACATTTCACAGACAGTTCCAAGCGGGAGATTACGCCCAATAGCACAAATCCTCTGGTCTTTGAAGTATGCTCAGTGGGATACTAACAATTTTCCTGAGAACAGAAAAACACATATAAATATTAGGAAGCCTACCTACACTGAAGCTTGGGCCCAGAACATCCTGGGGTTCAGAGTTGACTACAAGTTGAAGAGCACATCATTGCCCAGGAAGAGAAATGTTGACAGTGACCCGAGAAGGTCAACATGGGAAGTCAGTGTCTCGGCCCTTCCCTGGAGCCTGCTCAGGCCCCCAATGCCCATATACAGAATTTCCTCCAGACCTCTACTTGTAGCTGAGGGCACTAAAATACAGTACCCCCCCCAAAAAAAAAGGTTAAACCCACATTTGCATTGATCCCAATCAACTGTAGCTGAAGATGTTTGTCACTGGAAATCTTCACTGCTAATCTCAAGAGACTAGATCCCTACCATTCAACTTGGGTTTTTCTGTTTTATTTTAGTGAAGCAAGGTATTTTTTATTGAACAAAGCTTCCTTAGAAGGATGTGAGCAGGGGAAAAGGAAAGGAAACGTGTGTACAGGGAGAACACAAGCTTGAAATAGCCAGCCAAGAGACAGAAAGCTACAGGCTTAAGGCAGGACACAGGCTTGATGAGCCAGCCTGTGAAAGACTAAAAGCACCTCACCCAGCAGAACAGAATTTACCTGCTGCTGGTGCAATCAGAGCTAACGGGAACCTGGTGCTGGGAGTGTCTCCGACCCAGAAGACTACAGGAGCAAACAGCACCATAGAAAGAGACACCCTGGACGAGCCACAGCTGAGAGCCACAGCCCAAGACTGCAGAAATGGGGTGACAAGGGGGTGAGGCAGCACACGGCAGGACACATTTTTCTTTCTTTCTTTCTTTCTTTTTTTTTTTTTTTTTTTGCTTTTTGGGTCACACCCGGCGATGCACAGGGGTTACTCCTGGCTCTGCATTCAGGAATTACCCCTGGCGGTGCTCAGATGAGATGCTGAGATTCGAACCCAGGTCGGCCGCGTGCAAGGCAAACGCCCTACCTGCTGTGCTATTGCTCCAGTCCCCTTTCACATTTTCTTGGTTGAGATAAGAGGATGGTTGTTACAAAATTCAGTCGAGTAGTTTTAAGAGAAGATGCCACAAGATAAAGATGAAAGTTGATATTCACCAAAATCTTGCATGAAGCGGGGGTGTAAAGGTATAGTCATTGCATGATGATGCTTGTGTCTATGTCACTCTATTCCTTGGCAGTATGAGGTAAATCATTTTTAGTTTTTGCATATGGGTTGTCCAGTTTTCCCAAGGTCATTTATGGAAGAGATTATCCTCAGCTTATGGTACGTTCTTGGATCCCGTTGTAAATTAACTGACCTGGTTTACTGATAAGCCTGAGTTTATTCCTGGACTTTCTATTCTGTTCCACTATCATTGTTCCACTATCTCTCATTGTTTACTTTACTAAATTACTTATTAAGGGCCTTCGAAATAAAACAAGCCCAGGGGCAGGAGAACAGGAGTTGGGATTTGGGGCTCCAGGTCTGACATATCACTAGATGCCAGTGAAACAAGCTGCTCAGCAACTTCATGGGGGCGTATCCGGCCTATATGCCCACTAGGACGTCCCTTGTAGGAGGCGAGGCCCTGGGTCCCGCCACAGAGGCAGATGCAGTCAGTGGGTGTCCCCGCCCTGCGCTCAGCCAGCCCAGCCCATGCGAAGCCTGAAGCTGGGTGTAAACTCTACAGCTGGGGTCAGAAAGCGACCGTGGGCAGGGCCCTGAACGAGGCCAAACGAATGACACATCACTGCAAATCGCAAAGAACCGCCCA